ATGGCAGCGGATAAAATATTTGGCCTTCTTGAGAGCAAGATTTCTAGAGGAAATACAGACAACATAGAACTTTGTGGTCAAAAGAAGGGACTTGTCCTGGGACTTTCCCTCCTAGTAAAACACCACTTGATTTGATTGAGTAAATAGTTCTCTAGAAGCAGTAGGGCTCTAAGGGAGTCATTAAAGAGGCAGGAAAGTAATAATTTATGGTAAATTTTGAACTATTGAAGGAAAGATGTGATGACTTTGTTGGAAATGTATGTGAACTAGTGAGACAGTCTCATAATAAACATTCATTAAATATTTACTGAGGGCCCAATCTTGGCTAGACACTGTGCCAAGCAGTAGGCAGCAGGCAAGGAAGTTTAGCAACTTCCTTGAGAGATAGGGGAAAAACAAAACAAAACAAAGAGAATGTAGCAATTATCCTGAAATGTGGACAAGATGGCCTAAATGCACACAGGTTAAACAGAACAGGTACACAAACCAAAATTCTGGAAAGAGTCTACTGAAAGTCAGTATTGGACAGACTGGACTAAATTGCTGAACCATAGAATCTAAGTTTGACTATAAAGAAATAGATGGGGGGAATAGAAATAAAGGTAACAGAAGGCAATGATGCTGAAGAAAATAAGCATTGACTGAAAGAGAGGGGGAAAATGCAGTGTTGTGTTCAGAGGATGTTTTTGTTTTTATGATCACGCCAAGTAATGACAAGATCCAGGGTGTAACCATGGAGTGGTGACTGTAGCTGAACAGAGATAAGAGTCACAGGAGACAAGAGTCACGGGAGGAGAAACCAAGAGTAGAGGCCTGACACCTTCCAACAATTCTGAAAGCTTGGACACCAATGAGAGACAGTGAGCCATTTTGCCACGTTGTCAATAAGTAACAACTAGCAGCAATAGATTAGTGGATGATAGCGATGTGGAAGAAACAATATTTTAGTCAAATGTTTGCAACCTCACAAAGCATATAAACATATTAATTGCTACTCAAGTTAAAATATAAGAACTACTACAGGCAACTCTGCTTTATGTAATCTGGAGAATACAGAGTAACTATTTGACAATGTTACTATTCCCAGGGGATATAAGTGGAGCTTTTCAGATCCCTACAAACCTGAGGTCTGTCCACATGTACCATCTCCTACATCCATCACCACTTCCAGTCACCATTCCCAAGAGGGCTCTAGCATTCTCATAGTTCCTCTCTTACATGTTTTCTGCTGTTCCTATTTCTTGCCTTTAAGTGTCCCAGGTTACTCTACTATAGGCATTTGATTTTTTGTACAAAATAGTAGTTCTTTGATGGTCAATTTACGCATCAATTTTGCCACACTACAGTCTCTAGTTGTTTAATCAAACACTAATCTAGGTATAGCTATGAATGTGATTAATGTGGATGTGATTAATGTCCATAATCAACTGACTTTTAAAGAGAAAGATTATTCTAGATAATCTGGGTTGGTCTTACAGAAAATTGAAAAAAAATCTGAGGCAGAGTTGAGGCTTCTCTACAGAATAGATTCTGCCAACTGTTCTTCCTAAAGATCTGTCCTATGGATGCTGGATTGCCCAGCCAGCCCACATGATATATATAATTCTAATTCTTAAAATTAAATCTCTCAATGCATATGACCTTCCAGTTTTGCCAAAACATTGAATACTACGCCACTCTTTTGCATCATCAAATGGGATGATCTTTACTATTGGTAGAAAAGAAACCATTCCTTGTTTGTCAATTTTGCTGCAAGACTAATGTAGAGAATTCTTGCTGCATTATAATCTGCACCCTATACAAGATAGCAAGGTTGATTTTTTAAAAACACCCCTTCCTACCATAAGGTGAGAACACTAGGAATATGTTCTTCCACCCCCATGGGTCTTTCAACAAAGTGGGGACTTCCTGGATTCCTTGGAAGGTTTCAGCTGTCCCACAAGCACAGGGAAGCAATTTTATGACACAGAAAATTACCAAAAATGTCTCAATACTCTACATAAAAATGAAGTCATTAAAAAAGAAACAAAGAAAGAAAAGATAGTCAAACCAAAAAAAAAAAAAAAAAACCACATGATTGAAGGGGCAGAGTCCCTAGTTATTACTGATCTATCAAAAGATTGGTACTTTTATAGGTTTTATTTGCATATAATTAATACTAAATGTTTGGGTCACAATTTCTTAAATTGAAAAGGAGAGACCTATTGAGAAAAAAACACTTCATTCTACTAGTATTACTCTCACGAGAAATACCATAAAATATTTTGATCTTTTGGTAAATAGCTCTTGTACCTGTCAGTTGTATTGCATAGTGGTAGCACAGTTTGTATAAGCCATGATTTGAGCTACACTCAATTCAATAGGGACTTGAAAAGTATACTTAGATTCAGAATTATTAGTAAAGTTAGATCATAACTAACTAGAGTGCTATAATATTTTATTTTCATATCTCAAAATGTGATTGCTTTGTTTTTTCATTGTGGATTATTGGATGATAGCAATGTTAACACAGACATGAAACTGCATGATCCTTCTGATTGGAATAATTTGAAGCACAGAAAATAAATCACAAAAGACAGTAATCAGACATTCTTATTTTACATAAGATAATTGAACTTTCAAGGAAGGCAGATGATTTTTCCAGGGCCAAGGAGATTAGGTGGAACTGGGTCTAGAGTGGTTTCCCAGCTTTTACCCATTTTCTTCCACAACACACTAATGGATAAAACACACTCACATCATATACACATCCATATCCCTTGCTTTCCCTGCCCTTCGCAAAATCCCACAGGATGCATTTGGCAGGATTCAGAGATTGCTTTGGCAACTCTAACACTCCTGGAATCCATTTGCAAATGCTGGTCAGCAGAGCCTGCTTCATTCCTTTTTTGTATTACTCACTAGATAAAGGTTAAATGTATGGGAATTATCATAAGTTTATTTTTATTTCCCATCACCTTTTTTTTTTTTTTTTTTTGGTAAGCGATCATTGACTACCAAGCACAGAAATATATTTCACTGAATGATTTTCTAAAATCAAAATTCCATATGGGCTGGAACTGAGACAGACTTGGGGTAATCAGTTATAATGTTAGTACCATCTACAGTAAACCAGTCAAAGATGATCAGTGTAGGACAGAAATCTTCACCTTTTCCTGAAATCACTTCCAAGGTGACTCTGGATTACCCCAGAATCTCACCTGCTGTGTGTGACAGCAGAGCACCAGCAGCTGGAGATCACATTGTGACTCAGTGAGCCAGGGGGAGAGAGGGTCAGATGAGGAACTAAGTCAGAATTGTAGAACACAAGTCTCAACTAGCAACTACTAAATGTGGTCTCCTTAATTGGAAAGATCAAACTGAAAAAAAATGAGAGGATGACTTGCTAAAATAAGTGTCCTGAAGTTGAGAAACAATATTTCCCCTTAAAAATTCAGACAGACATGCAAAATCTTACTACCTTCACTCTAGATTAATGTTACAAGAGTAAAAAAACTAACAGCACAATTTGAACTGATTTGCAAATATTATACAAAGAAAAAGGTATAAGTAGAGCAGGCATGGTCCTAAGAATGGGGAATAAAATCCATACCCATAGCAGGTAACTGGAGAAAGAAATAAAGTATATAACCTTAGTTAAT